GGGGTAAGCTCTGTGATGCAACCGAGGACCTCATTGAACAATGACGAAATGGATAGGCGGTGTTAAGTGATGCATACTTCTATGAAAGTGCTGTTAATCGATGCCATCTTTGTTTAATTAAATTCCACCCTGATAACCGTTGGATCAGTTTCAAAAGTTAAATCGTCTTTGATCCCTAAATAAATATATTGGTAGGTACTGGGAGCTATGGTCACGGCATAAACAGTACTTAGGTAAAATGCGCCACACGAGGCTCCAATTCTGAGGCCAACCAGGCATCCAGTTGGACTGGAAGAGCCCGTCCGGACAGGGGCAGTTCATCATGAATGGCGCTGTGCTGGCGGTGCCCCCAGTTAAGCCCAGAGGTAGTAGCTAGCCCAAGCCAGGCGTGCTAGACTAGACTGGCAACCACCAACATCATCCATGGATCCCTCCCTCCTCCTTTCGCTCCCCATCATCATTTAACTATCACCTAACAACGCCCACCAAAAATTCTTCATCAACGAGCTTCGCCCGCCCTCTCCCAACCTGGGCTTCTATTTACTCCTCCTTTTTCTACCCGCGATAGAACTGTTTTAGCGACAGAAGCTGCTGCTGCTGGTGTCGGTAGCTGCTATTGATTATCTCATCTCCCTTGTTTCCCTTTTCTCCTCCCCTGACGACCGCCGCCTTTGTGCCTCGTGCCCCACCGCTCGCGATTCAGGCGTGACCGCATCCAACGTCAACGTCATTTCAACCTCAACTCCCACAATCAACACATCTCGATACTCGATTCTATACCTCTGAGTCATGGACACCAATATGGAGGATGTTGGGCGAGCACCCGCTGAAGCTTCACCTGTGCTTAACTTCGAGCCCACTACGATCCCCACTCTTGACGGCTGGATTGAGAGCTTGATGTCTTGCAAGCAGCTGGCCGAGGCTGACGTTCAGAGACTGTGCGATAAGGTGAGCTGGATGTCAATTACACGGGGGCGATGGAGCTTTATGTGATGCACACGACCGTTAAGTTGCGAATAACGTCGAGCGTGCGACACTCAACAAGCTTTGGCGCTTCTCGCGTGAGGCGGCCGAATGCTAACGTGCAATACACAGGCCCGAGAAGTTTTACAGGAAGAGTCGAACGTGCAGCCAGTGGTATGTCATCATCATGCGCCAGTTGATCAAGATACTTGAACTAAAAGGTCTCCAGAAATGCCCTGTTACCGTCTGTGGTGATATTCACGGCCAGTTCCACGACTTGATGGAGCTCTTCAAAATCGGTGGACCCAACCCCGACACCAACTACCTATTCATGGGTACGCTTCAATCATCATTCTAAAATCTTACGCTGTCAATACTTACTCCGAATAGGTGACTATGTTGATCGAGGTTACTACTCCGTCGAGACCGTCACCCTTCTCGTCGCCCTCAAGATCCGATACCCTCAGCGAATCACCATCCTCCGAGGAAACCACGAGTCCCGTCAGATCACTCAGGTCTACGGTTTCTACGACGAGTGTCTTCGCAAATACGGAAACGCTAATGTCTGGAAGTATTTCACCGACCTCTTTGACTACCTTCCCCTCACTGCCCTAATCGACAACCAGATCTTCTGTCTTCACGGTGGTCTTTCTCCTAGTATCGACACACTCGATAACATCCGAGCTTTGGATCGTATCCAGGAAGTCCCACACGAGGGTCCCATGTGTGACCTTCTCTGGTCAGACCCCGACGACCGATGCGGTTGGGGAATTTCTCCTCGAGGTGCGGGGTATACATTCGGCCAGGATATCTCAGAAGCCTTCAATCACAACAACGGCTTGACCTTGATCGCACGAGCTCATCAGCTGGTTATGGAGGGTTACAACTGGTCCCAAGACCGTAATGTGGTTACCATTTTCTCAGGTTTGTCTCGAATGCCCAGATGCGCCAAGGCCTTTGCAAAATTAACATGATGACAGCACCCAACTACTGCTATCGATGTGGTAATCAAGCCGCCATCATGGAAATTGACGAGCACTTGAAGTACACCTTGTATGTTTGAGCCGGTAGCCTACTTCATAAATCGCACGACGAACTGACCAAGAACAGCCTGCAATTTGACCCTTGCCCTAGAGCCGGCGAGCCTATGGTCTCAAGGCGTAAGTTCCAACACATAAACCCAATTGGATTTGGCTAACGTTCATGAAAGGGACTCCCGATTACTTCCTCTAATCTCGTCACGTATACCCATGTCTCACCAAGCTCGAGCCAGCTAATGTCGAACTGTCATATTTGGGGCAACTGCGCCAGCCTCAAAGACGTTGCAGCTCGGCCTTGTACGATTCCACACGACGAACTTTCTAAACGAACCAAAACTCTGTGGCGCATGAATTGTACGGATATAGCATCTTTGCTCATGGCGAGTTCCCAAATATTGCGGCAAAGGCACGATAGCATTGGGACGCCTATACCTTTGCTGGGAAGGGTTTGGTAGACTACGTTGCGGCGCTCCGTCTCAGGATTGCTTAGATACGCATATTTGAGTTCCGCGCTGTAAGAGAAAGAAACACGCATGCATGATCAATTTTTGTCTTAAGCTTCTCACTGTGATGTCTGTAAAAGTTGAGAATGAAGCATTAGAAAGAACCGAGCTACTAAAGAGGAATGATAGCAAAGACATAACAGAACTCAACCCTAAGGTATCGAAGCATCGAGGCAAGCAGTTTTGTAAATGGTAATCATTTCACTATATTGGCAATTCTAAAACTACTCTAATCAACATATTGGTGGCGCCAACTCATTAATCCAGTTACAGCTTGTTCGCTCGGCGTAGCCCGATAACCATGCCTCAGGGTATCAGGTTTGGCCGCTGAACACAAGAGACGAAATTATTAGGTCAGCTTATGCTATTTAGATCAGGCTCTTTATGCTGTTTATTCTTTGCCATAAAGTTTAGAAGCCATCTTTCTTGCTGCCCATTAGCCATGGCCTTCCTAAAGACAGTAGTACAAGATTCCGGTCACATGTACCTCTGCAATCTTGTTAAGTATCACAAATAAGACATTCGTGTAACGTTGTCTTAATAAGGATTGACTTCAAACGGCCTCCTTTTCGCGCTCTGCCTCAAGGTTTGCCTCCCATTGCCTCTGCATTTTCTGGTTCTGTTCTGCCGTTCGCGGTCGCTCGTCATTGCCAAAGACTTCCTCTTCGGTGTTGACACGATACATGGGGTCTTGAGGGGCTTTCTTGTTGGTAGAGTAATCGCCAGGGGCATGGCTGCCGTCAGGAATATGGAAGCGACGGTCGAAGCGAGAGAGAGCGTACGAGAAGACGACAATGATCTCAATGACATAGTTGAAGCAGTAGTAGCATGCCTTGCTGTGATACCACGCTGGGTCGTTGGCGGGGCGGACCTTGTAGGATACTCCAGTCCGAAATGCGGCACCCAGTGTAAGAAGAACAGTAGTAAAGACGAGAAGTTGGATCTTGGTGCGCATGCGGCCCTGGCCGAACTTGTCCATGGCTGTCTTTCGAGGAAGAATGAAGCAGAGTCCAACGATAGGTAGAGGGAGAAATGCGAGGATGGCGAGAAACGTACTACCAGTAAGCTGAATATCGCGAAGCTGCTGCTTAGTATGCGGGTTGAGAGTATAGAAGTTGTATACGACAGCGGTGATGAGCATGATAAGACTGGCAGCGATGGAAAAGTAAAGGAACTTGAAGATCAAGGAAACATGCTTGCTCCATCCAACGTGTGGATGATAAGCTCTCAGAATGCGCTGGGCGAAGATGAGGTTAACGACGAAAAGGAGAACAACACCAGCGTTTGTAAAGACATTGGCGGCGATGGCGAGACTCGAGTTGGTAGGGTTCGAAGCCCATGCGATACGCAGGACGTTTGCGGTGATACGGGCCATGCAGAAACCGAAGAGAAGGCCTGAGAGAATGAACTTGTGGGAACGCCGACGGTTGAGTTGCAGGATGGTCATGTTGAGAATAGCGCCTGTGACGAAGAAGGCCAATATGACGCCGCAGATGGGATCATCGACGGACGGTGTTGGACGACCACCGAGGCCAGCTGTGCGAGGGAGATAGGGAGGGCCTTGAGGAGGCATGCTGTTTGGACTCTGTGATGACATTTTGACCAAGTGATGCAGGCAGTCTCGCTTTGTACAGCCATGTACAGAGTAATCGAATAGATCCAATGTAATCAAGTTGTAGACTGCAACTTGTTTTATTGGTGAATAGAGAATGGCATGATGGTCAGGATATTCTTGCTCTATATAAGCATACAAGGTATGTAGCTCACAGGCTTGAATCTCCTATTCCTCAACCAATAACTGAAACATTCATCTTTCTGCATCTATGACCTATGTCGGCATCAGATCAGTATCGGTCATCGGCGTCGCGAAACCGCCGGCAGATCGCCCTTGGCTCGTTTCCTATTTAGGTAATGTCGAAGTCGGCAGTCGGAGGTTTCCTTGAGCGCGAAAGGAGCGAGACCAACGTGATTGGTGAACTAGAGAGGACTAGAGCGGTCGGCCTTGATGTTTGAAGATAATTTATGATTTTGACTTGAACTGATTAATCTTTAGCTTGTCGGACAATTTCTCATCAAATTAACAGAGGTAAGCCAGTGAGTTCTAGACTCATATCGGACTGGAATATAAAACTTGTCCGATGGTTCGCGTGGCTCTGATACCGCGAGGAAAGTAATAGCCTAACATCATGGATGGTGATCGTATCTGCTTGTCTTTCATTGTGGTTCGCTAGTAAATGATAAAACCACTAAAAAAGCTCTATCGTTATTTCACGAATCATCTACTAATTTAGGTTGTTCCTGGCTATCGGCAAGAATGTTACCCTGAGGCCATGGCATATTCCTCCCTATTTCCGTCCCGTATTCAGTCCTATGAGGTATAAGCTTCAGGTCCTGGAATAGCAATTGCGGCTCCATCCGTAGGGTGTTGTTTCAATAAACTGCGAGCCCTTCTGTCCCTGGTGCTGGTATTGTCCATTCTCCAGTACTTACCTGTTTAATTTGCCTCTTCTGCTGCCACTTTTCTGGTCGCCACACCAGTCATCTCATCTGGCAATGGAAGGTACAGCTGCGGATCTATAGGCATAGCGTCGTTGTTGTGCCAATTATTCCCAATTTCAGGTCTCTGTCCAGTAACTTCAACTGTTTCTTCGCCTGTGGCTCCAACAGTCTCGTCTGCCGCTCCAGTCCAGAAACCGGCATACGTTTAGAAGTCGCTGTCTTGCCAACTCGCCTCGTCTGTCTCCGGTTCTGGTTCTGGTTCTGCTATTCTTTGCCAAGTAGCTTCAGTTAGCGGTTCTTCTACAACATCTTGGGTCGTTGCTGCGAGTATGTCTTCTACTTCTGCCGCTCTTTCTATCAATGTCGACTCAATTTCTTCCGCCATACGTATCTGCGGCACGGTCCTATAAACATGGTTTGAGCTAGAGTTCAGTATTTAAAGAGTACCTACCGATACAAAGAAAGGATATAACTTACAAGCACACACTCGTCTTGTCCTCGTCTCCTTCTCCAACAGGATCGGCTGGAAGAAACTCGACGAGTGCATTGTTAAGCGTATAACCACATCCAACTCCCATTCTCGCAAGTGCAGCGCCCCTATCAGCAAGTTGGTTGCCAATAACTGTATCCCGAGGCACCCAGTTCAATTCGATATACACGCCAGCTTCTTGAAGCTGTGTGGCCTTACGACCCACCTCTCGCGCTATCATCTGGGCCAACAACCATGCTCTCTTCTTGTTGTTGTAATATTTACATTTGGTGTCGTCGATGTCATCGATGCCCAAAGGTGGCAAGTCTGATAGTGCCTTTCTCAAAAGTTCCAACGTGGCTTGTGAGTCGATGTACACTTCAAGGATTTGCAGTCGTCCCCTCTTGTCGTTCTCCTCTTCCTTTCAACGAGTTGTATCGTGTAGTCAAGGGCAAGGCCGATGGCCTGAAGCTCTTCGATATTGGACGATGTGCCACATGGTCCCCTTGCCATGATACGCACCAAGGTGCAGCCCTCCCGAAACACAGCCGCCCATCCTGCGGAACGATGTTTCTTAGAAGCATCAGTCCAAAATACCAGTCGTGAATCGCTTGGAGGCGCATCAAGCGCGCTCAATGCGCCCCTAATCGCCGGTAATTTGTGACCGATATCGATATCGATTTTCGGTGTCTGGGCTGACAGTATCATGGTTGGAGCCTCTGGGACTTCGTTCCAAGCTGCACAGGCAGCTTGCCAGGATCTCTGGGACCTATTCAAGAAGTCCTGGACTCCTATATAGAGTTTTGTTATGGAATCTGGAAGCCGGCACATTGTGTCTCTTAAAGATGGCTGTCAAAATAAAGATCTGTTGATTGGTGAGTATAATGTCTGGGTGAGTGGCGGAAGGAGAATGAGAAGGGCAAAGAGAACAACGCGGGTTACACAATTGCTTTTATTGTCTTCAGAATTTGTCTATTGAACCTTTTTGAATTAGGTATGAGTTAATATGAGGGTTTTAGTAGTAACTTTAGGCAGCTGGCAAACTTTCAGTTACATGAGGGTATCATGGTGGGCAATAGAAAAGTTAACTCAAGCTTTAGTATGCAATGAAAACTTAACCTAAGTAGTTAGAGTATGGAAGCAAATGATCTAAGACTAATAGTATGGTTCATACAGCAGAAACACGCACTACGTCTCTTATACCTGCGTCGACTTTAAAGGTTATCTTCCGTATAAGTATGCATCAGCTGAAGGATTATCGGAGGGTTTAACCATGTGTATTTCTTGCCTCAACGCTCTAACAATATTCTTTGTCGTCTAGTTTCTCGTTTGTCAAAGTCTAGGTGCATCAGGGTTGTATGCTGGGTAATCCGTGTATCCCTTTCTGTCAGGTGTGTAAAACAGCGAGCGGTCATATTTGGTCAGCGGCCAGCCATTCTGGATTCGCGCTGGTAAATCAGGGTTTGCTGGACGTAGACTTTAGTGCACGTCCATAACAACTATGGCTTTCACGAGATGACTCACGAATAAAGTAACGACCGAATCCTACAAGGTCATTTGTCTCGCTTGCATGCTTTACAGCAGTTTCTGGGGTGAACCCTCCTGCAACAATGAACTTGGCATCCGAGTTGCTAACAACCCCTCGAATGGGAGCGAGAGTGTCGTTTGTCTTGGGAGTGCTATCAGGCGAGTCACTTCCTCCTTCGATTCGTGGCTCGACAGCGTGAATAAACGCAAGAGACGGCTGTGCCTTGACGATGGCCTTGGTCCAAGGTACAAAGACGGATAGAGGATCAGCCTCCCGCATTCCCTGGAAGCGCGAGAAAGGCGACATGCGAATGCCCACATGCTCAGGGCCAATGGCATCACAGACAGCGTTGAGGACTCTCAATGGGAAGCGGAAACGGTTTTCAAGACTACCGCCATACGAGTCTGTTCGGTCATTACTGTTGGTTTGGAGCTACTGTAGTTTTAGTAGCTGCTCAATCAAAGAACATTGAATGCACTCACAAATTGATCGATAAGCTACAGACAATGTCAGTCAGCTGAATACTGGAGCGCACCATACCAAAACTTACGTATCCATTGGCTCCGTGAAGTTCAACGCCGTCGAAGCCAGCTTCGTCGGCATTCAGTGCGGCCTGTCGGTAATGTCCCACGAATCGATCAATATCAGCTTCAGTCATGGTCGTGAGCTTAGGAGGAAGCTCTGTAGGACCAGTGCCCTTGACGAAGGGCTTTGAACCAGCACTCCAGACGTTAGGAACAATACTAGGGTTGGCAACTCGACTATCCACTGTCAGTATTTTGCCTCACATATGCGATCTTGGAACTTACCCCAAGGCCCAGAGCTGACAGAATATGTAGCCTCCTTTGGCGTGAACAGCATCCGTGATAGCCTTCCATGCCGCAATCTGTTCCCGCGAATAGATTCCTGGTACTCCAGACATACCTCCAGCCTCTTCAGCGATGAAGGTGCCCTCGGAAACGAGCAGGCCGCCGTCTGAGGAGCGTTGGGCATAGTATTCCGCAGCATAATCCGCTGGGACCGCGGTTGTCTTGTCTGCCCGAAGCCGTGTCAGGGGAGCAAGCACCACTCGGTGCTTGAGCTCAGCACTGCCGACTTTGGCAGGAGTAAAGAGTTTGGCGGTTCCTTCGACTATCATTTTTGTTGATTTGGCGAAACTGAGTAGGTAGTATCTAGTGAGTGATAGATCGCGGAGGGATTTGCTGTGGATTTCCCTTAGTTGGAAGAAGATTGGAGCCGGATAACGTTACAGACTATTCCACAAATACCTCGGCCCAACCAAATCGTTGCTAATCCGGCAATTAGGATCAGTCGAGGCGGTCTCTGTTGCCCCGAGCTGGTGAGTAGCAGAAAAGTTGGCCCTTCAAGTCTTAGGGTACAAAAATAAACAGCCTAAGAAGTATCATCTGAATTAGAAGTAAAGTACCTGCTAATTCCATCTCGTAGGCTCCTAGCGGTCAACTCTTCTGATACCCTGAGGCCAAGCTGGACTTACCGAGTAGCATACGTGCACATCTTATCGCATGCTGGGGACGATTGTAGAGGCAAAAACATAGTCTATAGGATATTGGAAAAGTCGGCTGTCAGAAGCATAAGCAACGAGATCATTTAGTACCTAGATCAAGTTATGCTGTCTAACTACTAAAATAGACCATACTCCAAGGTTATTTAGTCTTGTATACTAAAGCTTTCCTAGCGGTCAGTGATGCAACTACTAAGGCAGGCAACTAACTACAAATACTATGAACACCTCTTCCCGAATGCCGGATATCTTACAATGACACGAACTGAAACACGGTGTAGTAAAATGCATTGCCTGGCCTTTGGTGACACAATATTTTTATTCTAGATAATCCGAGAAAAAGAAAGAGACCAGTCTTAAGTACTACTTAAAACGACAGGCTCGTATTGTTTCGTAACGAACTCGAATATGCAGTGCTCTAGGGTGACTCATCTCAAGTCCACCACCAGAACGGGAATTCGACAACAGCCAATGGTCGTCTTCTGCACTCACTTCTCAACTAATGAGTGCTGCTGTATCTGTTCGATAGTGGTATATATAATACCAGCGGTTGTTTGGTATGTCGATACTCAGTGCTTAAGCTGCATATTTGCTAACAAGGTAAAGCCTCGGCGCTCAGCATCGTATGGACGAACTATGATGCCTCGTTGATGCCTTGTTCTCGACCGAGATGAAAATACCGCTCAGCCATCAGAAATGCCTCTTCCATTGCCTAACTTACGATACAGACAGGTCAGACTCTGCTGATCGACAAGACAACTTCGCTTGCTCGGCAGTAGCAGCTAATGGCTAACTAGCACATGGGACAGCGCACATCGCTTCAACGAGCTCCGTTAGAAGAACGACGGATGACAGGGTAGTATCGTGGCATGACAAAGCCAGTGAAACGCGCTTCCGGAACGAGCAGGGGATTCCACAAGGGTGGGAAATTACCTATGTACGCCTGCAGGGACCCGGGGCTTGTGCTGTGCTGGTCTTGCTGTATTGCGCAGAGTACAAGTCTCTGGTAGTTATGATTGACACTGTTCAAGTGACGGCTTGGACAGTCCCAGAGGGTTTCCAAGCGATCCTGGAGTTCATGGGGTAAGCTCAGACGAATAATCTACAGTGGAGGTGTTTGCGATATTTTGGTCTTCATCCCAAATGCATTATATCATGCGTTTCAGAGTGCATGACACCAGCCCGTTTGTGCATCGATGCGCATTGCCATCATAAGATCATAATTACTACCGTACGCAACAGATCACGCTATCAAAAGGTCCCTCTCGCTAGAGCACGCAAGAGGCACAAGAAGCTTGACAGGCTAAGTTTACAATGTTACGCTGCGCAGCGATGCAGTCTTGAAACTGTGTGGTCGCGCGAGCTTAAAGATTGGAGATACAATTGGGAAAGAAAAGAAAAACATTCGCATGATATACCGCAAATATGAAGGTGAGTACCAAACTCAAAAGCTGACAAAAAGTAATAATAATAAGATTGAGCTGGAGGTTGTCTCAGAGACTCAGCCACTTATCAAGTCGGTCATAACAATAACAGTCGGCCGAGATTTTCGTGGCTGCTGCCACGTTCAAATGGTGAGAGGGTTGCAGCCGAAGTGTTTCATTCTCTCTTTCGGCCAAGTGTTTTCCCATTTTGTGTGTGGTTGCTCTCATCGCCAAGTTTTCTTTACTACCTTAACTCTTGCATATCCTGTACATCATGTGTGCGATGAAAACACTCAACCCGACACCATCAAAGAGCATGAATACCTCGCCAAATCGGAATCGAAGACCTGATCTCGCTACAGAGAGAGTTTCTCTGGATTCATGTTATCTATGCAAGGAGATGTATCTGTCTTTGTTTATTGGACATGTCAAAACAAATGTGGATGAGATCTTATTAAGCTGCAAGTTTCATGAGTCTTTGATTTGGGTCAGTTAGTACACGTGGAGTCCAACGCAATTAGGAATAAGTCGAATTTGAATCTGAATCAAGACAACAAATGGGTCACAATCTACTACTAGTACCTCTTGCTGCGAGGGGGAAAGCGAGTGACGATGACCTGCAGACAAGATATTATCGCATTTATCTCAAAATGCGACTACTCCTTGCAGATTACATCGCACAGCTTGTTTATGTAAGTATTTTCCCGAGTAACCATATGAGATCCAAGAAGAATGCGATTGCCAAAGCTCAAAATGCTCAGATGAGATGAAGACCAAAATTCGTGGTGTTGTTGAGGGTCTTCTAGCGATCTTAACCACTGGTCCTTGGTCCTAGCGGCCCGTAGAGGTTCAGAGGAGGTTATGTAAGGCGTTATTTAAGTGGTGGGCAGGTCTAATGACGCTACTTGGACCCTGTTCGGCTTCCGTTCAATCCCTGTTCCGCAAGATTAAACACGTCTAGATCCAGCTGAGCGGGAAATGTATCGTTGTAATACTAATTATATGAGCAAGGTACATGCAAGACCGACCCGTTGTCGCCTACCGGACCTGATCTAACCCTTCTTGGGATTAGCACGACCCGACTCACCCTGGCTATCGCCATTTCCCTCCAGTTAGTTGTTTGGGTAAAAGCATGGATCAAACACCAAGCGCCAGCACTATTTTCGCTGTTTTATGCTCGGCTCCTTCATAGTCTCTCTCCTCTTGTCTCTTCTTTCTGCCTCACTGAGCGCACCCGTGATATCGTTCGTTCCCGACAAAACCCCAGGTAGTTCATACCGCCCTAGCACCCCCTACTATTTCGACCAGGGCCCTCACCATCCCAGGTCAACTCTCTTCACCACAAGCGTCGCGTTCACAGCTGCTGGGTCTGACTTCACTGGGTTTTTTTCGCTTGACATCGAGTTTCTCTTTTCTTCCACTTTCCCCCCTCTTCCTCCTTCCTCATTCGTACTCAGCCAGTGTGTGCGTCTCATCGCTTGGATCCTCCTCCATCGGACACACGCTCAGCTCAGTCAAGTCAACTCGAGCCCGAACGACAATCCAAAGGTTGGATTGAGCTGTCAAGTTCGCTTTCTTTCTCCAAAGGAACCGGCTCAACTTGACTTTCGTGGACCAGGCTCACCTTCCTTAATTATCTCCATTTGACGACATTCGCTCTTTCCTTCCCTGGAAACTAATCGTAATTTAATCTTTCGACCAACTGCTACTATCGCTTGACCGTATAACGAAATCCATTGCGCATCAACAATTCGACTCTTTTCTTCAACTTAACTAATCGATCAATCGCTCATTCACACACTCGTTTGCTCCGGAGAGCAGTTTTTGGCTACGATTATCAACCGCCTAATATCTCTCCACCGACCTGCATCAACCACTCAGGGCCTCTGTTGACCCGACACTGCGAAAAACAAACACTCACCTCAAGTTCCTACCCCGACGACCATGATATAGGTGTCATTGAAGCTCAAGATATTACCGGTCTCTACGTCAGCTTGTCGAACCAGGACAAACGCCTCAACCATCAAGATGGCTGCGCCTAGTCAAAACACGGGCCCTCGGCGAGCTCGCCAATCGCGCAAACACATCGCCTCGAAGATCGCTGCCTTCGCATTGCTCTCTGCGTCGCCGATGCTAGTAACAGCTCAAGTTTCAAACTGTATCTCTCTGAAGGGCTCCAAGGCGTGTCCAGCATTCACATCTGCCTCCATTTCCACCGGGGACAACATCCGTAACTTCTTGTGAGTTTTGCAGGTCCAAATCACAACTGTTTCTGACATCAAATAGCCCATTCCTACAATATGTTTCGGACAGGGCATCTTTCGACAGTCAGCTTTCCGGCTTTGTCGAGAGAGACTATGTGCAAAGGCAGTAAGCAAACACCCACACCTGTACCCCCCCACGATCCAACTGCTTACAACTCCTAGATACCAGTCATTGTTTGGCTGCAAGGACCTCGACTTGACCAACACCAGCGACTTATACGCCCGCTTCACAACAAGCGTACTGTGCAATGCTATTGTTCAGAACTCTATCGAACCCTGTGGTCTTTCTGAGCGACAGTCTCGACCCCTATGCGCTGATGATTGTGCCGACTTCGCCCAAAGCGAGGTCTATCTGACATCAGACGACGACATCTGCTCAAACCCGTCAGACGGCCTGCTGCAGCTAATAAGGGCAGATTTCACCAACTGTGCCCTTCCTGGAGGCTCATTGGACTCTTCGACGTGTATCAAAGCCATCGATAACGAGTCAGAGAACTGCGGCTATGGCAACAGCACTATTGGACTTTGTTCTTACTGTGGCTCAAGTGGCCTTAACTCGACCGATACTTGCTGCTACAATTCAAACGCTGAGGATCGTTGCAAAGATGTACAGCTGCCAACATTGGCCGCCACCATCACCTTCTCTCGAGAATCTCCAACAGCTTCGGCAACTGAATCAAGCACTGCGGATGAGGAAACCGACGAGGACGGAGGCGGCGGGCTAAGCGGTGGCGTAATTGCCGGTATCGTTATTGGAGCTCTCGCAGGTGTAGGTTTGCTTGGACTTGCACTCCTTCTGTGCCTCAGGAGGAGACGGAGACCGGGTAGCCCGAAAGGCAGCATTTTTAACCAGCCCTCGCCTGCTCGACAGGGACCAACTGCAATGGCTCAAGCGACAACCTCAACAGCTCCTCAGGGATACGAAGTTCTCCCGGGTGGTCGCATAGCGCGCATGTCTGCACTGGAAGGTCATTCTGGCAATTCACCATCACATCACCGTGACACTTCTTCGGCTGCTGGAGGAATGGCTGCAATAGGGGGTTATCAACGAAGAGGCGTTGACAACTCTTCATCAGATGAGTTCGCGTCCAGCCCACCTTCTTCCGAAACACGCGGTGGAATCCTTCGACCACCACCTGCTAGGCCTCGACGAACCGGCTCACTTTCCAGTAACTCGGCTCTTGGTAGCTCTGTACCACAATCTCCATCTAGTGCTGGGGGGTTCTCATCACCACAGGGCGTTGCTAGTCAACAATCGGAACAGTTGCCCTTCTTTAAGGACTATTATTCTCAGGATGATATTCATCCCGGTGACAAAATCGCCGCTCTTTGGGCATACCAACCCCGAGCAGCCGATGAATTCTCTTTGGAGCGTGGTGATATGCTTAAGGTTGTAGGCATCTGGGATGATGGTTGGGCGACAGGTGTAATGCTCAATGAGCGGGCAGATGAATGGGAGGCTCGACGACAAGCTCAACGCGATAGTGGCGTCTCGAACGCATCGGGTCGCCGTGACAGCTCACCGGCGGCGGAAGGCGAGATCAAGGCATTCCCTCTTGTCTGCGTTTGCCGACCTGAACACTGGAGAAAGACGATCGAGGGCGATGGGTCAACGGAATCTGGCTCCAATGCTTTCACTGCTTTCTGATGATAAACGCAGCCACGAAGTCTTCACCTTGAATACGACGTCCTAGGAGGACATGGCATTGGTGCATTGTTTACGGCGTCCTGGGTTTCCAGCATCCTTGTTGCCACCAACAGCACAAACGCAATGGGTATATTGGTTTACAGTATCGAATATTGGTCATCACGTCCCGTCACTGGCCAGATATTCCAGTTCCCGATTGGTCTCCCTATCACCTACACCGCGCCGTTATTCGTCTCTCCAACATCCACAATACAAAGAGATTCAAGTCTCTACTTTCAATTCTAGCGCTGAATTATATACCCGGTGTGAGCATCCAGACATGTTGTTTTACGGAAGTGGGATCGACAGTAGGTCGAGTAATGATGCAGCTTGAACGGCTCTTTAGCCGCTCAAGTATTGCATGAGAGGTTGTGGAGATGAACAAACAGTTGGTGCACGATAGAGAAGCCGCCACCATATTCATTACGTCTTCAAGGTTTCTGATGATTATGTTCGACAGACATAGCTCTTTTTATCACAGGCTACGATGAAGCCTGACGACTTAGCTAAGCGATATTGTAAATAAGTTAACTTTTTATGATACATTATGCCTCTTCATCAGCTATGAAGTGATGTTGAATGACAACATTCCAGTCGGCAACAACAGACCCTGTGTCTTGAAGTTGTTTTAGATCTACTGTGACTGGAACGCAGTCGGTCTAGTTGCCGCTGTGGAGTTGTTGACTGCCTATACAGTAGATGCATGCCTGGCCCCACCGCGGGGTGCTTCACCTTGTTTCCCTTGACTCTTAAAGAGGGGCAGAAATCGTGATTCTTGATTACATCTTTGCCTTAATTACCAAGAGAAAGACGTCCTTTCCAGTCAACAATGGCTGATGTCAAGGCACATGCGGAGGCCCTGGTGCACAAGTTCAAGCTTGGTCGTGTCCTCAACCAAGGTAGAGCATCATCTCTTTCCCTCCATGCAATTCCAGTTCACCATTGATGTTGGAGCTCTCTAGATCAAGCAGGTCGGCGTGTCTCTCTTTACGGATCTATCGACGACAACCCAGCTCTCCTGATCCTCGAGCGTGCCCCGTTTTCTACCTCACAGAAATACCTTGCCGATGTGCCTGCTCAGCTCGCACGGGTGCAGAACTTGGGTGCCAACGACATATATCACTGGTACATGGGCCGTAGCGGTGCCGAGACAAGCAAGCCTGACGACTCTGACTTCTTCGCCGACCTGAAGATTAACCTGATCTACCCATGCACTGAAACACATATCAAAAAGTACAGCAAGCAGGGGATGCGTTTTGTCACAGAAACACCAGAGATTTACAGAAACCACATTCAACCGTATATGCTCAGCAAGAGAGAACAAGGAAGACTCAATTGGGTATTCAACATTATCAAAGGACGTAAAGAGGTGGAAGATGTTATCTACAGAACAAAGCTGGGCGAGGCGGGCGACGAAGGTTTCCTGATGTTGCCGGACCTCAACTGGGACCGCAAGACGCTAGATGCGCTGCATCTACTTGCGCTGGTCGAGCGACGGGACATCTGGTCGCTGAGAGACCTCCGCAAGAAGCACATTCCCTGGCTACAACACATGAAGGCCCGTCTTATTGACGCAACCGTCAAGACGTATCCGTCCATCGAGCCAGACCAGCTCAAGCTCTACGTGCACTACCAACCAACATATTACCACTTCCACATTCATGTTGTACACGTTCAACTTGAGGCCGGGGCAACGCAAGCGACGGGCAAGGCGGTCGGACTGGAAAGTATTATGGAGACACTGGGCGCGATGGCGGGAGACGACGAGGTGGGCATGGACGGCATCGCGATGAGCTATACGCTAGGAGAGGCGAGTGAGTTGTGGACTGAGATCTTTGAGCCACTTAGGACTGGCGGCGAAGCCTCTCAATCGCAATAAGTAGATCGTTGACACTAGAACCGTGGGGGCAGTCGGACCACTCGCCACCGTCGCGGATGCAGTAAATTTCGCCGTTCAAACGAATGGTAGCACTCTTCGTAACACCGGCCTAGCAAATATTAGCATTCCTCTGTTGTTGTTAGTTTCCAGTATCGACATACATCTGCAGTCCTTTTAATACTATGGCGCAAGAGACTCAACCCATAGCCTCCATCCTCCTTCACAGCACATTCGTTCAGTTGCTGGAAATCGATGGCAGATTCGAGGGCGCAGTCTTCGACAAGGGATCGTCCGGGGATATCGCGGTAGTCACGGCTCAGGCACATAATAAAACCCAGATTTATCTTAGGGTCGGGGTAAAGCTCGCGGGCGCAAAGTTCAATGATATTGCCCATGCATTCCGAAGGGCCGTGCATGCAGTCGACGCCATCGTTGGCGGTTGGCCTGAAGGACCTACGCATTAGTCGCGGCACAAGCGAGGGAGTTGAGAATGGACGTACCGGCCAATATAAGATAGAGTAAAGTTGACCTTGTCATGGACGCGCTGCATGACAGGCAGCACCAATAGTTCGAGAGCATCCTAGCAGTTGATGAGTATGTGTTTTAAACTTGTGACAACAAGAAAAGGCGTTACCTTTGCATCAGGGCATTTACTCATGATATGTGCTTCCAAAGGTACGAGACTATCGGTGAGTTGAACATCGTCGTTTGTGACGTGAACCCAAGGCTCGTCGTCTATGAGAGGCCTGAAGGGTTGCCATATCCAAAAGGTATATGTCACAATAGCCATGACGATCAGTGTCATGGTAGGTCGACTACGGCGAGCCTGGATTGGCAACATGACTCTCTGAGAAGGCTGTTTCTCGTCCATAACGAATCAAGATTGTTTCGTGATGATGTATTGATAAGGGTATTCAATAAAGCCAGGGTTGATGTGAGAGGTGGAGGAGATGTCGTTATGACAGGCAGCTGAATGCGCATCACATGCGGCTGGATTGTTTATCCGAATTTGGTTAAGGAGGCCGTTTTGGGAGATGAGCTATGTCACTGTGTAATGCTTGCTGTCAACATGGCCAAACTCAACGTGAATATATGTGTGAATTTGTTGAACCGATTCCCTAGCTATTATCTCATTACGCACGCTTCACCTTGGGAAAAGATTATGAATCAGCCTCGATTTGCGGATATTAGGTGTAAGCATAGCCAGGACAATACCAGCAGAAAGTTGCTATAAGTCAACCATTCTAGGGGTAGCGGGGCCTTGAACCTACCCAGCCTACCAACGAGGGCTGTAAAGCTAACCCCGCAAGTGAATCGCGTGTGAATATATGGATCGATCTCTGGGTTGATGCATGGAAAGCAATATCTAATGATAAGACAAAGATGATATCTATCTCTTACACCAGATCTATATACAAACGCTCGAGCTAGGTGCTAGGTTTTCAAGCTGGAAGAGGCTTACTTTTAGTCATTACATCAGAGTGCCTGATTAGCGCCTGCCCTGAAGCCCAAAAGTGAGGACCTAACCTGCACCTTCTCACGAACCGTGATTCACTCTGACACAACTTTAGACTTGTTGCTTCTTAGAACACTTCCTTGCCTCGCCCTTTCCCCGCCTATTTATAGAGGCCCAAACTTAGTTCTTCCCTCGATCAAAGAAGATTCCTGTGGATGCCTACCACTCCTTACCTGATCCGAGACAGCCTCATATCCACCACCTACTAAGGTATTTGTGATGATACCTTAAACTGGCACTACCACATTCGGACAAACAAATCACCAGCCAAATCACATCGCGCTATTGAGTTACCAAGATAATGACTTCCTCTCTATCGATCGAGGAGTTCCTAGAACCCTTATCTGTCGATATCAATAAGATCGAACAACTATCTCAGCAATTTCTTGAAACATTTGAGAAGCTTGCCAGCGACTCCGAGAACCAGTTCTTACCAACTCCTATTTCTGAGGTTATTCTACGACCGGAGGCTAAACGAAGACAAGGATGGTGAGTCGTTATATGCTCCGATGAAACTCGACCGGAGACCTATGAACTGACATTAGTGAAGTCATCTGGCCATCGACATGTAAGTAAAGAATTAAGCTTCTCGTTCCCTTATATAGGTAGCTAACATAAGAGTAGAGGAGGCACGAATTTGAGAGTGGGCTTTGTCCAACTCGGCAACGAGGCCGCGTCATCTGCTACGTCTGACCAAACCAACGGCCATATTGACAACAGACCTGACGAGGGCGCTGCTACAAGACAAGTCAGGAGACTTTTGGAGAAATCATGGCCCATCGATGAGCACCTGAAGAACGAAAATCCCGACAGTCTCTTCCTATGGATCGGTAACTGTATTGCCGAAGTCGTCCAAGATGGATGCAAGGCGCTGCAACTCGAGACCGACCAGCCAATGCCACTTGGAGTAACCTTTAGCTTTCCTATGGTACAGCACTCGATCTCTCAGGCTACACTTATGCCCATGGGGAAAGGATTCGCAATCTCCTCTGATCAGGACCTGGGTGGTCGACTCACTGATGGATACAACCGTGCAAAGTCGCCAGAGCTGCCACCTATTCGCGTTGAAGCAATTGCCAACGACTCAGTGTCAACGCTGGTCTCCTTCATTTTTAACTTCGATGAAGCCTTGGACCGGCGAGCCTGCATGGGCTTGATTTTAGGTACAGGCTGTAACGCGACAATTCCCCTAAAGTTGAGCCAGCTCAACCCATCCAAGCGCCCACCCAGCGTTGTCACTCGACCAGAGGAACGTGCAGAGGACGTCAAGATCGCAATCAATACCGAATGGAGCATCAATGGCACCTCACCCCCACTGTACGAGGTTGGGTTAGTGACAAAATGGGACAGAGAACTCGATCAGCAAGGCGAGTTGAACAGCTTCCAACCATTGGAGTACCTAACTTCCGGTCGATATCTGGGCGAACTGGGGCGAATCATGTTGGTCGACTACTTGACGGGACACTTGGGCATTACTGCAGGAACGTTACCAAAGGCGTTGCTACAGCGGCACAATCTTACGACGACTTATTTGAGTCACTTTAAGCCTCTCCAGCCATCGACTCTCATGACTAGCCTTCAACAAGAATTCCCCGAATCGTCAGGATCACCACCATTTTTGTGGACTGAAGAAATCGCTACTGCACTGTACTGTATTGCTAAAGCCATCGAAGTTCGAGCAGCTGGTATTGTAGCGGCAGCTACGTTGGCGTTATTGACTCTGGCTGGCGATATTCCAAAGGACGGAGCACATGCATTGGATCATGATTGCGAACTCGGTGTAGGCTACACAGGAGGATGCATTGTTCATTTTCAAGACTATTTGCAGGACTGCCAGGACTTTCTCGACCAGCTTTTAAATAAGCGGTTCGGTGATAAGAGCCCGCTGCGAGTCGTACTGAGCCCGTGTCACGACGGAGGCGTCACAGGAGCAGGCATACTTGTGGCTGCGGCATCGCAGAGCAGGACGATAAAGAAATAGGATACGTCCAGGGTTGGTGGGTTGCATATTACATTGGGATGTTTGGGGGCGGCTGGACCGCTTCGGTAATTGATCAGTCACACATGAAGGGCCTCAGGCCGGGGTAGTTTCCGGAGAGCATGGATGGTTGTAAGCCGGGGTAATGGCTTGAGGGGAAGAGGGGAAGTTAAGATAATGTTGACACTGTTGACTAACTTACCTGGCTTATAGAGACAAAAATTATTCTCACGAAACAATGTGCTGAGGTTGTATGTGCATGTGAGTGTTGTGACTATTAAGATGAATCCTGGCTGACTGTTATATAGTATCCAGGTGTAAAAACTTGAGAAGCGAAGTCGAAAAAAGACAGCAACTAGACTAGACTACTTCTCTGTCATCAAAACAGCCAGTCAGCCAGCAACCCCTCCAGTTCAACCACTTGTAGCTCGCGTGTGCAGATGACTCTTTCCTGCGTGGGGGATGTACACTAACTATGTGCCTCCGACAAGCCTTGACTCACACTCGCACTTATACTCACACCGAGAAACTGTTAGAGAAAAACAGATACCGGGTATTGATTCCCTACCACTCCTGAAAGCCATTCTTTTATAGGAAGTTGTGGTTGTAGATAGTCGGCACGGCGCCGCTTCTGCCATGGGTCTTTGCGGGGCGCACTTATCATTATTTCCATTGCACTTGGCTGCAAAAGTCTGCGATCACGACAGCGAGACTCCACTCTTTCCTTTCTTCCTTGTCCCTCGACATGCTATTATTTCCTTTTAAGGCTTCTTGTCTTTTTTGCTATTCCTTTTCTTCATCTTCATCTTTTTTCTTTCTCTCTTCTTAATAACACTCGGGTTGGTCTCATCTCATACTAAAGACTCAATCGCCGTTATGAGTCCGCAAAAGACCAGTCCGGTCTCGGATGTTCCCACTCCTCGTCCGGTGCCAGTTCCCACCCGGACCAATTCTCGGGGGAGTGAAAGTGACCAAGATGTCGTTGATCCAGCAGCATATGAGGCTCTATCAAGGTCTTTCACTACCGGTGCTCACTTTTTACAGCCTGAGTCGTTAGAGAGTGCTATGCTAAGACCTTCGTCTTATAAGGCTGGCCATCACCTTCATTGCGGTGTAGACGAGGAGGACCAGGGAGCTGTGACCGAAGGCGATGACGAGAGTGAGATTTCGACAGATTTAGACGATGAGGGACCTAATGAAGAGACTCCTCTTGTTCGCCACCAAAGCCGTCGTCTTTCTCTTACGGGAAGGTCAACTGCTTCGGCTGACATTGCGCCCTCACCATTCTTGAATAATACTTCGCCTACCCGCTTCTGGTTTATATTCTCTCAGATTCTGGCTGCCTATTTCATTTCATGCTTTGATGGAACTATCATGGCCAGCTCCCATCCCGTTGTGTCATCTTATTTCAATGCATCCAATTCCGCTTCATGGTTCTCCACCGCCTTCCTCCTGACGTCCTCCGCCTTCCAGCCCCTCCTAGGTCGTCTCTCTGATGCTTTGGGCCGAAAGCCGTTATTTGTGGGAGCGATGGGTATATTCGCAGCTTCGATTACTTGGTCTTCTCTTGCTGGCAGTATTGAGAGCTTCATCGTTAGCCGAGCCTTTTGTGGAATCGGTGCTGGAGGTGTGATGACACTGGGTTCCATCATCGTATCCGACTTGGTTCCCATTGAGAATCGTGGTGCATACCAGTCATATATCAACATGAACTATGGCGTGGGGTCTTCTCTGGGCGCCGCTACTGGAGGTGCCATTGCAGACTCCCTAGGCTGGAGATGGGAGTTCGGGATTCAGGTCCCGCCTCTTCTGATATGCATGGTTGTTGCGTGGATCGCTATTCCGGACGACTTGGGCATTCAGGGACAGAGAAAGAGTGTGTGGCAAGCCCTCAAGGAGTTTGACTTTCGCGGCTCTTTGCTTCTGACTACAGCGATCACATCTGTGATTTTGGGCTTGGTGAGTTCATGTGTGTGTGATCTTGAAGAACTCAGTACTAATCGTCTTGGCGTAGACTCTTGGGGGCAATGTTATGCCATGTAAGCTGATTCTACTTCTTCAAGAAATACGTGTGACTAACTTGGACAGGGTCGCATCCCATTGTCATCGCGAGTCTTATTCTCTTCGCCATTACGTTCCCTCTATTTATCTGGGTTGAGTCGTGGGTTCATAAACCTATTATGCCTCTGCATCTCCTTTACCAGGCTCCCAGAGCGAACCTCGTTGCCTCGAACGCAATTGCCGCCCTTATTGCAAATTCTATCCTGTTTAATATGTAAGTGAAGACACCACTGGAAACATAAGAGACGAAATTAGTAGGCCAGCTTATGCTACTTAGACCATATTTCTTAGGCTATTTATTTTTGTAGCCTAGAGCTTGATCATACTCTTCGACCCAATGCTAATTGTTTGAACAGACCTCTGTATTTTCAAGCAGTTCTTCTCACTACTGCCACATCATCTGGACTACGGCTTATCATACCAACAATTGCTGCCTCTGCGACAGGCACATTCACAGGGTTCGCTGTCACGTATACAGGACGGTTGAAATGGCCGGTTCAAATCGGCACCATTTGCACCCTAATCGGCACAATTGGCCTTGCATCACTCCAACGCGACTTGCCCTCATGGATCTATCTCTTTATTCTGATGCCATCGTCGATCGGTCAAGGCTTTCAATTTCCTGGAACATTCATGGCCATCCTCGCGGCATCTGATCAATCTGAACAAGCTGTCGTAACAAGCACCCTCATGCTCTGGCGCAGTCTGGGCCAAGTTTTGGGTGTGGCGAGTAGCTCTCTTGTTGTTCAGAATGCGCTGCTTCATTATTTGAGGCAGTTCGTGACAGGCGAAGACCGTGACGAGGTTATCCGCCGCGTAAGAGAATCAGTCGAGGAGATCATCAAGCTTGAGCCCAAGTACCGTGAACAGGTCATCCTGAGCTACGAAGCCGCTCTACGACTCACGTTCATATGCTGCATCGTTGTGGCGTTGGCGTCTACCCTGATTGTCGTACCCATAAAGCTACCGAGACTAGGGGTGAGAAAGCATTCTCACGGTATCAGGAAAGCTGGTCGCTAGAAGCAAAGAGGCCAAATTAGTAGGCCAGCTTATGCTCTTTAGACTATAGTTTTTAGGCTACTTACTTTTGTACACTAAGAATTAGGAAGTCAACTTTTCTGCTACACACTAGGCATAAATAGGCCACCAGACTGATATCACATATCAAATAACATTGCGAAGAGGAGGAAGAAAAAAGAGTGTAAGTTGACAACCGTGATGACACCTGGCGAACCAGACTGTTATATTAGACCCAGCATGCTAGCCTTAATTGAGTCATTACTTAATATACATCATGAAACACGCACTGATTAATGCACTCCGTTTACGCCTGTTGCCATAAGCGTGTCCAGCTCTTCCTTGGCCTTTCTGTAATTTTCCTGTGCTTCTCTCTCACGTCGGTTGACAAAGCCAACCTCCTCACGTAGTGCGCCCAGGCGTCGTTCAATAGCGACATCCTCTGAAATGGCGAGTGTCTTGAAACCAACTAGAGCAACACGTGCCTTCTCCAATGCATCGGACGCATCGCCCATCTTGTCGCGGAGCATCTTCTGTCGCTTCTGGTACCCACCAAGATGAAGAGATAGCTTCTTCTCAAGCTTAGCTCCTGCCTCAGCGGTGGCCATGATATCGTCTTGAACAGCCTAGATGATGGTTAGTAAATGTTCCCACTCAAGATTTGTGATGAGACTTACGTCGAATGCTTGCTTCATAGCTGCCCCTTGTTCTTCCTCATCATCGTCGTTATAACATCCTAAGCCCAGAAGCATTGAGCTGCTTGCGCGACCTTCAAGGGCGGTCTGAATAGATTCAAATTTAGGAAGGGGCTTCGTTTCGGACATAATCAACAAACGAGCCTCGGAAAGGGCATTGTCGCTGAACTGTTGTAGTGGCTTAGGAGTACCGCTAACTTGACCTCCAGGGACGGGATACCTCATGGCATCGTTGGCCACTAAACTCGCTGACTCCTTGGCGATGAGGGATTCAGCAACATCAGTGATACCGCTAGCCTGTTTCATCAGGCTGGATAGATCGACGTGCGCAGGTCTAGGAAGGTTCTTTTGCATGACCTGGGTTCGCCTTCGGAATTCGAGGGCTTCCTCTACTTGTCGTCTCTCTTGCTCTCGACGATCTCGCTCTGCAGCATCTTCTTCCGTCATCTCGTCGACCTGCATACGCTCCTTCTCCTCGTCAGGGATATCGAATTCCCACTCAGTATCCTTTGGCTTTGGAAGGGATGCAAGACCCGACTTGAGCTGGTTGCGCAAAGCCAGATCTCTCATTCTCATATCCCTGGGGGTGGCAGAAACCATTGACATACCACCATCTTGGTTCAGTGATAGTGTGTCTCTAGGAGTCCGCATGGGCGTTTGTCCTGGTCGGCTAGGTGTCGCCGCAACGTTATCGCCCCTCATTGGGGTTGCCAATGGGTTAGGTGTAGAGATAGTCTGTTTTCGAGGAGCGATGCCGTCAAAGCCAGTTGAGGAGGCGCCTTCGTGTAGAGGCGTGTTTTCGCCGCCAAGAAGAGCCGATTTTGTGTCGTTCAACGCTCGAATATTTCTGATCTCGTTGGCAATATGATCTTCTTGCTCGGGAGCTCTTGGTGTTCGGATAGGGGTAGCCGAGTCAAGGGTAGAATATGTGTTGACCAGTCCACGAGTGGCATCGTTTTCGCTCTCTCTGGCTCTCAAATTGGCAGCCTCACCCATCCTGCCCATCTTGACGATATCCTCCAACTCACTCTCGCTGACTTGAGGGGAAGGCAAAACCAACGAGCGGCGCTTACTGCTCTGTTCGGCCTCTCGAAGCTTTTGTAACTGACCAGCCTTCAGGGCGGCCTTGTGTGATTCCGAAGCTCCATCCTTCTCGGTCTTCTTCCGCTTTCGATCGTTGTCCTCCTCGCCCTCGCCCTTTCGCTTGTTGGCTAACTGTTGCTTTCGAGG